TTTTGAAAACTTATATAATATTTTTAAAATATTTTGAAAACTATATAACATATAGTTTTGAAAACTTTTTTAAAATATAATATATAGTTTAAAAAAATATTTTGAAATATATATATTATATAAATTATATTTAGTATATTATTATTATTATTATTATTTTATTTATTTATTTTATTTTATTTCATTTTATTTTTCTTTTCTAGGTCCAATGTCTTGGTCCGGTTCAAAGTGGTCCAGCAAAAGTCTAATAGTCCACAGAACGAGTCTGAATCAGCCCAACAAGGAAACTAGGGTTTCCATCATCCCAGTCAGGCGCCGCAGGAGGGGAACAAGAAGATCGAGAGCCAGTCAAGGGATGTCACAACGACGCGAGATTTTCGACCGGGGAAATTGGGACTGATCCATCCCGAAATCCCCGGTCAACGGCAAGCACGTTACCATGATAATCGGAGATAGCAAACGGCCGGTGGTGGGTATAAATACCCCACCACCACAGTGACCAGGGGAACGGTATCGACGACGAGTAAACCCACCATCGAACATCACAAAAGCCATCGTAGAGCCACAAAACAAAAAACCTCACGAGAACCATCACAGACCGAGAACCAAGAACCTAACAACAGTATCACACAGAAAAACACAACCATCATCACCAAAACAACTCAAAAACAGTCTACACAGAAACATCAACACAGTGCCAAGAAAACAACATAGCACCAACAACCAAAGGCCGAAGCCCCACAACAAACTAAGTAAAAAACCAAAACAAAAACGAGGATATCGTCTAGAGAGAGGAGCGCGCCGGGAAGTCGAGAAAACTCATCGGAAAAGGTATAAGCCGAAGCTTTGAGGTAGATCTACGTCGGAGGGGGATTTTATTGAGTGTTTAGGTTTCGATTTTGGCTTGGGGGCGTTGAGGCGGCGGCAATCAGTGGCCGGGGTTCGCCCGGGTAGCTTGGTCGAGAGTATTCTCTCGTTTGGGAGAGATGAAGGCTTTGAGAAAATGTGAGAATGAAAAGGGAAAGAAGGTTTTTGGGTATTTATATACCAGGGGTCTCTTGGTAATAAGAAAAAAGTTTAATTCTCTTCGTAGTCCCCCAACGTTCGAATCGCATTTCATTTTAGTCACTATATGCAATTTGGCCACTGTATTTTCAATTTATTCAACCCGGTCCCTTTTTATATTTTACATTTTTGTGCAATTTGACCACCTAAATTATTATTTTATTATTATTATGTTTTCATTATATTTAGTATTATTTATTTTACTTCATTTTGTTTCCATTTTATTACCTTTATAATATTTTTTCTTTTAGATTTTCTTTTAATGTTTCTTCATCATTTTCTTTTATTTATTTTCTTTTTTATTTTATTTCTTTAATTTATTTTTTATTTTATATATTTATTTATTTTATTTCTTTTTTTTATTTGATTCATTTTTATATATTTATTATTATTATTATATATTTTTCATTTTATGTTTGTTCCTTTTTATTTATTTATTTATGTTTCTATCTAACATTGTTTTCTGACCCTTTTTTAGTAGTGATCTCAATCGATTAAAGATAAGTAATTTGAATCGAATGTTTTAAATTTCAATTTTAATTTTCGCAATTAAAGACAATTGAAAAATTAATTGGTACCGAAAGGGCGGTTCAAGGGTGCTAATCCTTCCTTGACCGTAACCGACTCCCGAACCCGACATGTTTCTAGTACAACGCATATCATGTAAGATGGTGTCCGACTCACCTAAATTCGTTTAAAAGTGGTCGGTGACGACTCCAACTCAATTATTTTATGTCGAAGTCCAATTCGATGCCCAACCGAAAGACGTTTCCGACATAAACGGAATAGGAAAAGAAAGGAAACCTACCGCATGCATGCATTTATATATTTACACGACTTTGATAATGAAATTCTTGGACATCATTTGAAATCAACCGCTTAAACCACTGGGACCTAACGTTCTTATTATCAAAAAAGATACTATGCTCATTTGTCACTTTCTGCAATGAAAAAGCAAGAGGCAGGAGAAAACCCACCTTGGTGGTAACAGTTGTTATTAATAATTACCTAATATTAGAATTGAGATTCGATTCACACAATGGGTTCTCAACCAATATATATCATTTGAATTTCTATGTAATTTATTTACTATTTAAACATCTAAATTTTTAATAATTTCAAAGTTATTTTTTCAATAACTTGTATTGAACGTATTCTAACTGTCGATCATATCATGTATATTTTTATCGTATCAATCTTTTATTTTTAGAATAAATAAGTTCATATCATCTTTAAGTCGAAGAGTATCAATATCACATTGACATTTTTTTTAAAACAAGCAACCCTAAAATTGAGCCCCAGCATCTTTTCTTTTCCTTTCCAAATAGTTAAGGTGTTTAACTATTTATCAAAGAACATTAAGTTCAAGATTCAGTCCTTCAAAATCATATTGTACATATAGTTACAATTTCAATGATATTGTCATCTCGGAACCCCCCCCCGGCTTTCTGTTCTCGGTGGCCTTTTTATCAAACATTTAAAAAATGTTACTCATTACTACTGGGAAGGTTCCATGTCAAAAAGAAAACCGAATAAGTATGAGAAACTTGTCATTAGAACCTGCCCTAAACACAGTAACCTAATAATCGAGAAACTTAAAAGAGATTGAAAATAAAGTGGCATAGAAGGTAAACATGTGAATTTTATATATGGTTCACCTTTACATGCGTGCTAGGAAATGCTCGTGTCTCACATGCAGGCCGATTCCTTGGCACACTAAAAACAAAAGCCCACGATCCCACCGTCGATGGATTCCTTCCATTAGGAATAAAGAAAGTCACATTACTACTAAGGAGCCCCCATTCGTAGCCCCTGCTATGGCGCTGACATAGTAGTTATTCTCCCACTGCTTCATTATCCATTCCTTCAGACACGGCAAAGCAATCAAATTAATCACTGCTAGAATCGAAATTCAGAAGCAGTTTTAAATACTAGATTATATAATATACCCCATTTAATATAAAAAATAAAAATATAATCATAATGTTAATTGCATTTTTTGTCCAATTACAATGTTGTAAGATTCTTTAACTCTATGTTATTTATTTTTAAGCCATCCTGCAGATTAAGCAAAACAAATCCTTTTCAAAGTCTCGTGACTAGCAAATTAGAAACTTCAAAATAGAATGTAGAGTTAAAGCTTTATTCTAATAAATTTTGAAAACTAAAATTTTCAATGGCCCGTCTAGCTCAGTCGGTAGAGTGCAAGGCTCTTAACTCGACTCGAAAAATTTTTAAGTTCAAATCGAGTTGTAAAATATAACTCGACTAACTCAAAATTTTTAGTAATTAGTATATTAATTTTCAAGTTTGAGTCAAAGTTTGTGTCAAGTCCCTCGACTTTGTATGATATATGTAAACTACATATGAGAAAATACAAAAAAATATAGATATGTATTGTATATGATTATAAAATATCATTTAAATTGAAATCAAATGATGTCATAGTATTGTAAATATTTACAATTAAATTTAAATAAAAACTTGAAAATTTAACTCGACTCAACTAGAAAAATTTCAAGTCAATTTCGATTTATAAAATATTACTCGTCAACTAGAATAACTTGAAATTTTTTTGCTCGACTTAATTCGATTCTATTGAATGCTCATCCTACATGCATGCATGGTCATTATTTACTGGTCCCCTCGAATTCGATGCATCAAAATGGTATAGGGATTTTCCCCTTAAATATTCCGTTTGCCCACTTAAATCTTAAAAGTTTGGGTGTCCCGATATTATTACCTAAACTTTAATTTGGTACTCAAAATTTAAAATATCTGATTTCATTTTATATTGATTCTTAAATTTTAAAATATTTTATATTAATTTTGAAATTATCAATATTATTTAATTTTGATTTTTATATTAATGTGTAGTGTCGTTCATTTGATTAATTAAATAATTAACTTTTTATAAGGACTTAAAAATTAAATTTCTGACCTTTTAAAAAATTATCAAACATACAAAAACAAAATGTTTTTATAAGTTTCTTTGTGACTTCAATTTTTAGGACTTTCAAAAATAAATTAAAACTTTTAGAAGGTCACAAGTTCAATTTTAATACATTTAAAACCCACGAAAATTAATGACACGTTAAAGTAATAATAAAAATAAAATGATACTGGTATAAAATATTTTAAAATTTTAAACGAAGTTATAATTTAAATATTGAGATATAATGTTCAAAATTTAGGATCTAATTTATATTGATGATCATAGTTTGAGAACATCTACTTAATTAACTGATATACTAATATACACTTAGGCATGGTAATTTTTTTATATCTAAAACCTATCCATTAAATAATTCTTTGAAAACATAATGTTTAATTACAATTTTCTGTCTATTAATTCTGAACTTGATGCATGTTGTCGTCTTACATCAGCCATCGTTGGAGCCGAGAAAAAAAAGAGATTAAAAAACTGCATAAAAGAACTTAACAGAACAGTTTGGGTGGCCGCCAGAAAGAAAAGAAAAGAATGAATGAAACGTAAACGGACAAAAGAGCATGGGGGTGGTTGTCACAGCCATGGTGCTATTGCTTAGACCAGCAGGGATGTGTCGGATGCCCGCCCCGTTGTCGATTCTGGCACACCTCAAAGACCAAACAAGAGGAGAAGAAAAAGCCAAGAGGCATACTAGATTCATCACTGAGAAGAGGAGAGCTAACAACCTACTCACCAGAGGAAAAAATCATTGTTGTCAAATGGGGAAAGCGGTTGGTCATCGCGGGGGCAACAACAAACCTCGTGAGTGTAGTTTAAAACTGTAAGAAAGGTGTATGCATACATATTTGAGAGGGTTTAATCTTATATGATGCAACAAGTCTCTGACAATATACTTAGTATTGTTGAAATTGAAGCAACGTTAGTTGGTTTGGACCACGGCCAATTACAAGAACATTAATGATTTTGATTTCACCTTAAGCCATCAGCCTGTCTAGCTCAGTCGGTAGAGCGTAAGGTTTTTAACCTTGTGGTTGTGGGTTCGAGCCCCATAGTGAGCGTTTTGTTTTTGCGCATATGGTGTTATGGGTCGTCGTTTTTTCTTTTGAGCTCAATGATCAATATTTGCGGTACCTTGGAACCCGATGCAAGAGATCGGTGTATGGACTTGCCCCCCAAATCAAATCCATGTAATATGGAGTGAGAGGCGTTAAACTACAAAAACATTAGGGTAAACTACAAAAACATTAGGGTAAACTACAAGTTTAGTACCTTAACTATCATTTTTGTTCTGTTTTTGTCACCCAAGTATTTGTTTTTCAAAATCATATCTAATGTTTAGTTTTAGTTTCATTTTGACCACCCTTCATTAAACAATTAACAATGATATTGATGTGTTTCCATAAGGTAATGACATCATCATTGAAAAAAAAAACATCGTGTTAGAAGTTATGTTATTTTTTTAATAGTGAGTGACAAAAATGAAATCAAAACGTAACATTAGATATGATTTAAAAAAACAGTTTACCAAAACGAAACAAAGTAACAATTGAGATACTAAATGTGTAGTTTATCCAAAATAATATCCACTCTTTCATTTCATTAGTCCTCTCTTAGATCCTAAAAGTTCGAAACTTTTATACTAATATAAGCTTCGGGATGATTCAAATTTTTCAACGTTTATACGAGATGGGTTGAGATCCTGTCATTGTATTCTTATCCCATTAATTTTTTATACACTAATCATAATGTGTTCGTGTTTAAATATGTAGAAACTCATGCTTAAGAAAGGTGATAAATTTTGTATGATTATGGATCATATACTAGTCGACATAGATTAAATATATAATATATAAGTCAGAGAATATTAAAGTAAAATAAAATAAGATTTTTTTTATATTTTATCATAAATTGTTAAAAGTATATATGCAAAAAAGTATTTAAAGCGACACCAACATTAAATAAATTACATAAAATATAACGTGTTTCGATTCTATCTGTTTCTAAAGACGAGAGAATGAAATAAATTCACTATAAACATAGAAATATCATAAAAAGAAAATCTTTCAATCTCAAAAACTCGTTAAACTATTAAAACTTTTCCAGCATCCGCACTAAAACCTCGATGTATGATGCATGATGTAAAAGAAAAAAAAAACACTTTAGTGTGCGGCAGAAACTTATTTTTGTATGTTTTGGATAAGATTGCGAAATGGATAAGAGAAAAAACAGTTGAAATGCATTGGCATGATAGGATCAACTATTTGATCCTAAGGAGGAAACAGAACAAAGTGATGCTCGTCCATCAAACTCGTTCTTTATTTCCCCTTAAAACCAAAGGTATATCCCTTACACCACATATACTATTTCGATATTTCATAAATTGAAATGGAAAAAGTGTGGTGGATAAGGATTTAAAGTTTATTATTTTTTTATATAACTAAAAAATGGAGACAAAATAAATAGAGTTTGAAGAACCTACAGCTCTTCTTTTCTTGACCAGTGAGAAAATATTATAATTTCTAAAGAGAATAAAAGAAACTAAAGTTGATGATAATTTGCGGGGTAGACCACAAATTTGTTTGTTCTTATGTGTGTGGTATTTATTCTGATTTCGAATTATGTATGTGTGGATGGCCAAAGTTCCCATATAATGCTACAGGGAATTTTTAATTCCCAAACTAAAGTGTTCATCCGATTAATTCTTCAAATAGGATATTTTCTACAGTAAATTTGGGATCTCTCGGCGTCTTCAGGGTTAATCAGATTTTTGGATTGTTTATTGGGATCTCTAGGCGTCTTTAGTGGAATCCATGAAAAAATTTGGCTTTTGTACACAAATATCACCTTAACATAAATTAATTACTTGTTAAGCACTGTTTAAGAATATTTTACGGATCTAGCAAATTTTTAAATACTTTCTATAAATTTAATCATATTTTGTATTAATTATTTTATTATTTTATTTAATTATTTTATTTTTTTACAGTTATAAAAAGGAAGTGATCATTGAATAATTATATTCGTATTTCTCGACTTTTAAATTTTTCTCTCGGCTGTAAATACGCTCTCAACCTGTAAACATTCACATCAATCCTCTAAACTAGAAGAATGTCGTCGCTTCAGCATAGATATCCACGTGTTGAGAACGTATTTATAGCCGAGAGAAAAGTTTAAAAGCCGAGAAATTCGAATATAATTATTCAAGGACCACTTTCCATTTTATAACTACAAAAAAAATAAAATAATTAAATAATTAAATAATACAATAATTAAATAAAATATTAAAAAAATATGATTAATTTTATAGAAAGTATTTAAAAATTTGCTTGATCTGTAAAATATTCTTAAACAATGCCTAACAAGTAATTAATTTATGTTAAGGTGATATTTGTGTAAAAAGGCCAAATTTTTCATGGATTTCAACTAAAGACGCCTAGAGATCCAAGCAAGAGTAAAAAAAATCTAGTTCACCCTGAAGACGCCGAGAAATCGTAAATCTACCGTAGAAAACACAAACAATCCAACACCCTGAAGACGCCGGGAGATCCTACCAAAAAATCTGGTTAACCCTGAAGACGCCGAGAGATCCCAAATTTACTGTAGAAAACACCCTATTTGAAGAATTAATCTGATGAGCACTTTAGTTTGGGAATTAAAAATTCCTTGTAGCATTATATGAGAACTTTTGCCATGTGTGGATTGTGTTCGAAAACGTTCTAATTAGATTCGTTTGATTTGTTTTATGTATTAATTAATTATGAATATCAATATTTGATTTATTGATTGATCGGTTTAGATTGAATATTGTAAAAGAGTATTATAAGGCCGACCCCCAATCCAATTTATTTTTATTCACAATGTCATATTCAAACAAACACATGTCCTTGCTGAAATAGTATAGTATCACATTCCACTAGACCAACTAATTATTAATTATATTTATTGCAATTTTAATGTACCATCTTCAAATTATATAATTAATTAGTTTATATTCATGTGTGTTTCACATATATAAATTAAAATATATTAAAAATTAATATTTATATTTGAACTTTTAATTATTATTTTTAGTAATAAAATTATAAATATGGTTTTTAAAAAATTAAGTGTAATTTTTCGGAGAAATTGAGATACATAAGTGTTAATTTAAGTTACTAAAAATTCAAAAAGACAAATATATTAAACATTAAAAACAAAATATATGAAAATTTAGTTATTTTTCAAAGACAACATATTCAAAATTATAAAACAATATTGATATCCCAAATTTTAGACCATGAAAGTTTTCTCTCTCTTCATTTTAATTCAAGTACAATGATAATATACGTTAACTGCACGGATCAAGTTACCTAAGTAATTAAGAGATTTATTGTTATCTTTTAAGGTTTTGAGTTCGAGCATCACATATGTCAATTTTCATTATCAAAAAGATTAAAAGTCTTTGAACAAATATTATCTTATCATCACCCCAAAATTTATAAAAAAAAATAGTATTCATTAACTTGATTATTATATATTCATATTAATAGATATTCACATCCTTCTCCAACTTAAGCATTAAGGATTCTCGTTTTCTTAGACATTCATGATTTTCAACGACTCTTAAATTTCTTGGGTTTGAAAAAAGGTTACTTATTCTAAGGCAAATTGGGATCCCATTTTGTTTCTTGTTTTTTTATTAAGCATTCCACTTTATTAACGACTACTTTAAAATCATTATAAAATCCAGCACTAAGCAAACTCTTCTAATTTTTCCAATGAATTAAAGACCGATTGAATGATATTTGGTATACAATTTATCCAAATTATTGCAATTTTGACAACATTTTATCTATTTTCAGTTATAGTACTTTTTATAACAAATTTTATCTTTTTGAATGATTTTTACCTTAAATTGAGTTCCATTAGAATTTTCCATCGCGAAGACTAGTATATAACCCGGAAAAGGGTGGGATGATGTGTGGAGTCAAATAATGGAGCAGTGGCAGCCTTTCGCCCCCCACCATCCCATTCTTTTTCCTTTTGGGGGTCATTTTCGTGATTTAGCTTTTTTCCAAGACTTAAAATTTAACAAAATTGGGCCACAATTATCTCATTACAGAGTTTAATTTTATCCTAAAATAACCTAAAATGTATTATAATATATGATTTTAATCAATTTTTTTTGGATTTGCCAAAATGACCAACTTTAGAGAAAAATAACTTCGACTATCGCAATGCGAACTTGGACTATCGCAATGCGAACTTGAACTATCGCAATGCGAACTTGGACTATCGCAATGCGAATTTGGACTATCGCAATGCGAATATGTAAATCGCAATGCGATAGTCGAAGTTCGCATTGTGATAGTCCAAATTCGCATTGCGATAGTCCAAGTTCGCGTTGCGATTTATTCCAAATTCGTTGCAATAGTCCAAAATCGCAACGACTGGTGGTATTGCATTTGTTTCTTAAGAATTTTCTCTAAAAATATAGTATTCGTGCGGACGTGTCGAAGACAGGTATTACCACTACCACGACGACAACCACGACCACGACCACGACCACGACCACGACCACGACCCGACCCGACCCGAGACGAGACGGACGGCGGCGGCGGCACGCAAGAGTCCCCCTTATTCTCTATCACTCAACAAGGAAGTGGAAAAGCCAAGCCTTAAATACCATTCTCAATAGTGTTTCCAATACAATGTGATTATTCATGAAACAATTAACAATCATACACCTTAAAACAACTAAATCAGCAACCAATTGCATTAGTATTATACGATTAAATATGTCATAATTAAAAGTCAATCTACAATCAATCGCGATTATTACAATTTTAAGCAAAACATTCAAAAATAATATCACTATTTAAGGCTCAATCCCACATAGTATTGGGAACAAGTGTTAGAATTGATATATTAGGTTGAAAAAAATCGTTTTTATTTTTATAGTATATTTATATTTTATAATTAAGTTCATATAAATTAAATTTATCAAATTAAATAAATAATTTAATTCTTGAATAAATTTAATTAGATTCGTCAATAAAACTTACTAATTTACTTATGT